AGGAATGCCTAGAGCCCAACAGTTTTCAGAAAGACTAGCTGTTCAACGATCATTTCACTGTAGGTAAATGTAATAATTTCAGAATGAACTTTTTCAATGGCTTTGCCTATGGCAAATTATTTTATAAGTTTGAATGTGTGGTAGGCTAGCTTTCCTAGGAAGTGAGGATAATCCAACCATGTTCCAAGTATATTAAACTGGTTTATACAATAAATATTCGAATCACCTATGTGCATTGACTGTGCTCAAACAAGAATTCTCTTTATCAAAATATTCTTTTTTTTCAAAAAGGCCTCACATTAACCCCTTAAACCAACCATCCCCTTCCCTTTCTATGTCCAGCACTGCTTACTATTCCAGTTGCATGACTATGTATAGACAAATGTCAAATTCCAGTGGAACTGCACACAGACTTCAGACTAATACATATCAAACACAACAATAGCCACTGACTTTAAGGGACAAGGTGGAAACTAACCAGTAACAATGTAGCCAATGTCAATTTTTTAGTTTAGAGGGAAAAAAGCAGCCCCCAAATGTCCTTAACTTCCCCGTACTCCCTGTGACACACAGAGTGAAAAGATAATCTCTAGATTTAAAATCATTAGAACACATCTTAAATGTTTTACATACATTAGTATTCAATTTCAGATTTGAGCAATATTTTCTTCTGTGTTGCAACGTGGGGAAAATGTCACAATTATTAGCTCTCGTCAGTTACAGTTATTTTTGAATGTTTAACTCTACTATATACCAATACGGGAAACTTCACCTCCATTACCGCTCCCCGTGCCTGAGTGCTGTCTTCCTCAGGGCTGTCCACTAACGCGCGGACGTGCTGGGGAGGTTGCAATAGCACTTACAGAATATTCACGAGAGCTCAGAAATGTTGGAAGGTTCATCATTACCTATTTACTGCAGGATTCGACATTCAAATTCAGCACAGCACCCGAAAGGAAAACTGCATGAATGGAATGCACACAAATCCCACAGGACACACAAACTGAAGTCCAAAAGGCACAGAGTAATGCTGGTGGCTCTTTCTAGTCAGTTAAGAAACAATAAAAAGTCTGCATTATTCTTTCATAATTTAAATACTTAAGTAATCTCCACTTTTATTACTTTATAACAATGACTTCAAATTTACATTATTTTAAGTACCATTGGAATAGCTTAGTGTATAATACAGATATTTGCCAATAACCCATCCAAAAATTAAAATAAAAAACCTCTTCACTATATATATAATATATATATATATATAAAAATTATTCTGAAAGACAAGAACATGGAAGAGGGACTTGGTACAGACTATCAACTCAATTTTCTATCACCACAGTTGTAACTCCAAAATCAACCGATATACAGCAATAATCAAAAGCAGTGCAAATATCTTTGGAGGTTAGGATAAAATTATAATGCAAGAACATAAAACCGAGGAAATAAAAAAGGCAAGTACTTCAAGTACAAGGAACCAGTCTGCTTGAGGTCCATCTTAGTGTTTACCGGGGGCTTCCTTCTGCTTCTACTTCTTTCTCTGAAACACATTGGCCAGCATGGCGCCCGATGTTGTCAACTGGCCCATTTTGTTCAAAAACTTGGTCTTTGTATCTTCGCTCACTAAACTTGCAGCAATTGACATGGAGCTAGAGAACAAATTTAAGAATTCATGTGAAGCAATTAGAAAACAAAAATATTAATTCAGTTCTTCAGCAGTTTATCTAAAGGAAGGAGTATGTGTAGTGGTCTGGGACTGGAATGATTCATGGCTGTTTATCATGACCTTGGATAAATAATTTCATCTCATCTGTAAGACGGAGATTGTTCTAGTACCTACCTCATAAAGCTATTAGGATTACAAAAGTGTAAAATGCTTAGCACATGGGGCCAGCAGGTGGCATGGTAGTTAGATACTAATATTTATTGAGAGGAGTTTTTTTTTTAATGTAACACATTACGTTTAATGTCCCATATTGCCAGCTGTGGTTCAAGTCCCAGACCTGGTGGTCTGTCTGTTTGTCTCTTACTCTCACGTGGCTGACTGTGGTTCAAATCCAGGACTTGGCAGTCTCTCTCTCTCTGGTGAGTGCACATGCCTTATACTAAATGAAAACAATAATAATAATAATAAATAAAATTAGATAAATAAGTCCTTAAAAAAGTGCTTAGCACAATGTAAGGCACAAACTGGCATGCTATAATGGTTAGTAGTTATTTGCATGACTTAAATTCTTCCAGCAATTCTGGGTGATAGCTCCTATCCCTATTTTCACAAGTGAGTAAATTAAATCACAATGAGGTTTTATACTATGTTCATACTAATCCTATGGCAAGTTTTTTTTTTTTTTTTTTTTTTTTTTCTTTCTTCCTCTCAAGTCTCTAGGATGGGCCTGGACTTCAACCCTGGTAAGTTAGAT